AGAGGAATGGAACTGGTCAGACGAGAATTGAAAGCTCGTAAGAAGCGTTCAAGCAACAGTGTCTTGAAGAGGTCTTGCCAGCAGGTTGAGAGAATTTGCAGTCAAATTACTTCCATGGTCTCTCAAGCTAGTGGGATTAATCCTCGTGGGTTGCTGTGGCTACCAAGGTTTATCCAATTGGTTGATTCTGATCGGTTTCATTTTTCTCACCAGCACACCACTAAGGATAAGTGCTTCAACTTGACTGGAGATTGAATTTTGTAACATTAATATTATAAATATTTGATTTTAATTGTCTTTATTATGAGTATTGCATTTAAAAATTTGTTCTTGTTTCTTATAATAATAATAATAATTAAAGTTATATTATTATTATTATTACTATTTTAGTTTTCATTGTTTTGAGTCTACATTGTCATTCGGAATTTTTTTTTCATTTCAAACCTTAGCCTATAACCTTGGGATTTTTCAAAAAAATGGCTAAAAATTGGCCCCTAATTTTTATTATATTTTCTGATACATATTGATGCCCTTATGCTGTGTAGAAAGTTTGAGGTGATTCTGCTTTCAATTTTCTAAGTTATGACCATGTGAAGAAAATGCCAAAAATTTGAAAAATGACCAAGGCTATAGCCCATGATTTTTTCCAAAAAATGGCTCCAAAATCACCCTAATTTTTTATTACATTTTCTAATATATATTGATGCCCTTATGCTATGTAGAAAGTTTGAGCTGATTGTGACTTCAATTTTTCAAGTTACGGCAATTTTTAAAAAACGTCAAAAATCTGAAAAGTACCCAAGGCTATAGCCCATGGTTTTAAAAAAAAATGGCCAAAAAATCACCCCAATTTTTAATTACATTTTCAGATACATATTGATGCCCTTATGCTGTGTAGAAAGTTTGAGCTGATTCTGACATAAATTTTTTGAGTTACGACCATTTTAAAATATGCCATTTCCCTTTCTTCTTCTTAATCAGGAGCTTATATTAATGATGAAGTTCCAATCATCTACTGACATTCATTGATGAACAAGAATATCCTTACATGAGATGACTATACCTATTCACAAAGCCTTTGATCATGTATTGCCCGGTCACATGACCACAACTTAGATATTAGAGTTAAAATGAGTTAATATTATTGAATAAATCTATGATTATGATAGATATTTTGGCTCTAATGTATGACCACACCCACAGCATGCAGTCTACCCACTATGCATGATATATTTAGCCAACACCCACATTTGTTCTGTATGTAACCATGTCTTTACATTTGGTTTTTAGGTTAATCTGAACTGAGGGTAGTTCAGTCAGCATAATACAGAAACGAGCTTCTCATCAAGTTGGTTACAATCGTCATTTTATTATTAATTAAATTATTATTCAGTACAATGTATTAGCGTCCTGCAGTGCATTAGCAATTTGGCACTATAAGATGAAATGGTATTTATTTGGAATTCTAAGCTATGATTATTAATGTTGTTTTTTGCTGTTTTCTTTGTTCAGTGTTCTTTATTGTTTGTAGTGTCTCACTTTTCTTTTTATTGTTGTTTATGTTTTACTTTCTTGTTCATTCATCCAATAACCTTACCATCATCATCATTATCATTATTATTATCATCATCATCATCATCATCATCATCACTGCTTTCTTTTTCAAATAAAATAAAAATAATTTCAGAGTTAATTATATGGGCGTGGTTATACAGCTCAACAATAAAAAGGGCGGGGCTTGGCCTGAAAGTGTAGGAGTAGATTGTTCTTAGGTTTATTTAGTCTGGACTTTGCCTCCTTCTCTCCAGATACATTATGGCTACTCAGGCCCCGCCAGTCCTCACACTGCAGGAAGGATACGTACAAACCTGCAGCGGGTACGTGGAGAGACAGTCCAGCATATTGAAGAGATGGAAAAAGAGATGGACGGTCATTGCTCCTGGTAAGTATACACTGCATTAGTTAACTAGCACTAGCACTGCATGTAGTAGTAGTACTGGCTAGACATTGGTTTTGACTGTACTGTGTAGATTAATGCAACTGCATAAACTTGTTTAGTATACAGGTTTTACAGGTTAGCACAGAGCACAGCATAAGATCAACCTGCATGGGCTACTGG